ACGACGAAAGTAACTTGTCAAAGTAACTGCTGTTCAAGTTCGCGCTCCAGAAATTATCACAAGACTGTCAGGTTATGGGCAAAAGTCTTGCTCGGTACGAGGTTTAGTTTCTAGTTCCCCTAAAGTTATGCATTTCCCCACAACTCTGCATTCTCGGGATATAACTAAAAGGAACATTCCTCGTTTTTTGCGTTCTACTTGAACGATTCCGTCTCTTTCACTAGCGCAGCCCTCCTCTTGGCCTCTCGGTTAGACGAGAGCACAGTTGATTTTACCGCCATCAGTAGATGCGGTTTCAAAGGGGATGGAATGAGCCCACCCGCGGCTGATTCTTTCCTCCCAGATCGATCACTGACCACTATTGGTAGAGCAAGGCAGCCGGAGGCAGACTCATTCTGCCCCTCCTGACACCGCTCCGACTGATTGCGACCTTATCAGCTATGCCAGCGAGGATGGAGTGGTCGAAGTAATTCCGCCCACAAAATGAGAGCAGGTTGCATCCTTGATCCCCAGGAAAGTCGAATTCTCAGACATTCGTTCTTCACTGTCTTATCCACTATGAATATGATGCGAACAAATTGTGGTATTGAGCTTTACAAACTCACCATTACCCTCGGTTCCTCATCGATGAGCAGACACAATAGCGTTGGCTTCACACTGGCCTCTCTACAGACCCGCAACGCCTGGAAGATTGTAACTTCAAAGCGATAACAAAGAGATTACACCCTTGTTCGTTGCGGATAAAGGGGCGTGTCAGGCGGATGAGTTTGACGGCGCGCTAGCCCATTTCCCACCAAATGTTGTCGCCTGTTCAACGAATGGTGGAAACGGGTATGGCGCCGCGCCAAATCCCTCCCGCCTGACAAGCTCTTCACCCACGGAGAACAAGATTGTAAGCACGCTCACCTTGTTGATTTCCTTCTCGGCCTCAGCAGCAACGCGGAAATGACGGGTTGTGAACTTGATACCTTGTTGAATATGAACACCGGAAGCCATCTGATCCTTCCTGAGTGGAGTGTACTCCGTTGCTGGGACACATTTGCATGAAGGAAGTAACTTACTCTTCATCATATATTTGAGAATACATCCTATCCATGTTTGGCATTGCAACTTCCCCGCGTTGAACTATGAAAAATGAACCAGTTGAGGAAGCAGAATCAATCAGCGTCCATACTTGCCGCGTATCCTGAAGATATCGGAGTTAACAGAGACTGTCTGTCAGCCTGAGAGGTGTGAAGAAAAACATCCGAAACTCTTGCCAACCTGAGCAAACTTGTACAAGGAACACGGTCCGAGTAGAGTCGTTGAATAGATAGGACTGAGCCGACGAGAAAGGAATCATCCTCAGCGACTGAAAACGCAACTCGAATGATGTACTAGGCAAGAGCGTTGATTGCTACAACGTTGTTCGGCGCGGATGCTGGGTTTGGCGCAGCACTAGCGTATTTTCCACAAACTGTTGTCGCTTGCCTTGGTTTAACTGCTGGTAAAAAATGGAGTGGCGAATAGGAGTGGCTGCGCCACCCAGCCCTCTTGACACGCCCAGCGTCACAACAGCGAACTATCTATATGAACTGAGATACTGTCCCACTCACCTGAGTGATGGTATGTCTCGTGCAGAAAATTAGCAGGCAGCTGCGGCAGGGTACACTTCCTCTTTTCTGGGTTTTTTTTTCCAGTTTCAGGTGCCTTGGCCTCCCCCACTTCCCCCCCCCCCTCTTCTTCGACGCGGACACCTCTCTGTCAGGAGAAACACGCAGCGAAATTTCTTGGGAAAACGCACGGCAAAGCGGGAGGAACTTGGGGGAATTCAGAAGAAAAAGGCGTATGTAATACGGGGAGATGGGGAAGGAGGCGAATGCGCGACGGAGTCACACGGCGCGCTTAAAATTTATTCTTCAAGCAAACAGGGACGTGCCCTAATTGGACTGAAATGCTGGAGCCACAGGATACTCTTGATGCTTAATAAATCAGTAAGGAGACAGCGAGACGAAAATGAATTTCTCATGCGGCCTCAGCCTTGCGGCGTGCTTATACTATGCGTCCAAGCGTCCACCGACCAGGCAGTGGGGAGTAAGTGGTTATAGGAGGGTTAGCAAAAGGCTGCCTGGAGTATCGAGAAATAGGAGGTATCAGAAACTGGATTAAGGTCGTGACGATTCGCGTGTGCAACCGCACCGTTACAACTGTTAAAGGCACAGAAGCATTCAATGTTACGGTATCGCTGTAGGGCAGTCGGTGCGCTTACAACACGCAGGCAATTCCTCACGACGCCTAATGCAGCAGTATGCTCCCTCTTACTTCCCAATACTGTAAAAGCAGTCTCTTACAGTTCTACTTCCCCATGCTCTTCACTCCTGGACGCTGGTGGACGCTAGATCGATGTCTATACTGTCCTAGCACCTGGCGCTGACGGACGCTCGAAGCGCTGGTGGACACCGCCGCAAAGTATGGACGCAGCCTAACATTTGCGCAATATTTCCTCAAAAATTATACCTACCTCAAGCGAGTACACTCCACCAATCGGTGGAGCCAGTGGACGACAAAGGCATCCAATCTGAGTTAATGCACGGAACATCAACGGAGTTTGAGACTCATAAATACCTTCAATACGTGAACAGCACAGTTTTTCATTGATTTCATTCATAAGCTTCTGTTCAGTACTCTGAAAACCGATGTACTACTCAAATTATTTCACTAACAAAATCTCACAAAAACAACATACTCCGCTTATGATATGTTCGTACAAGTAATGTACTGCTTTGTGATGAGGCAGCACTCGGCGTACAACATCTCTGCCTTCTGTGGGCTCCTGAAAATCAGAGACAACTCTTTCATATAAAATTCACATGAAAATTCGTCGCTATACCCTTTCATTTATGATCACAATTCGAGGAACTCGCAGCTGGAATCTGTCCATTCGGCCTTCTAGAGCTACCCAGACATTGTATATACCGGGTGTTATCGTCTCCTCTATCGACAGTATCTGTGCAAATGAAGTTATATCCATAGTTCCAATACCTCAAAAGGACTTGGTGGCACACTGTGCGATAACTTAGCGGGTGGGTACTGATTACTACTGCTTCTCCCTCATTGGAGCGCGAATCATTGAGAGGGATGGACGTTAGGCGTTCAAACTTCGCGATGACGGGCGACGACGCGCTGCAAAGCACTGCAACGCGCGTTGACGCGCTCTTACTGCTCCAGTGCTGTAGACGTGAAAATAGCCGCAGAGGGGTATCGATCGACGACGGCGGCTTGTGCTTCGAGAGTACAGTATAACAGTCGGGTAGGCACCGCCTTCACAAATTCTGGTACCCTCCTACTCTTCTACACTATCCCAGAACTCTGGCGGCCAGCGCAGCCCGATACCCGACTGTGTGATTAGGCAGCGCGTACCCACCCCATACTACCCTACACTCTCACGCCATGGGCGGCTGGCGCCAATCCATACCCGTCTGCAGCTGCATTCCTGTTTATAGCATTGGAGCTGTGGTAACGCATCGCCGCGCGTCATAGCGAAGTCTGAACGCTGCCTCAATGAGGAACGAGCGAAGACCATGAGTTGCTGCACATCTTTCGCCTGTCGTCATCGCGGAATGTGCCCCAGTCATAAGACAAGAAACATACCTGCCATATCCTATCTCGCATAGATTCTCGAGTATTTGTCAACATTCGTTCCACCATTGTGGATCCTAAAAAAGAAATAAATCCCAGAAAATGCAAACTGCTCGAACTTTCTTTTTAAAATAACCTCTTTCTTTTCTCCTGGTGAGATTATTCACTTTGGCTAATCGCCATTTCTTCTTCAGATATCGCAGCCATTCGTCAAAGCCGTCACGCGAAAGCGTTTTCTTTGTAAGAGTTTCGGCGGTTTTCTGAAAATGTTAAGTTTTGGTAGCCTAAAATATCTTGAGGATTGTTCGAGCAAAGCCGCGGAAATAGTTCTCAACCCAAGGGGCATGCAAATGACAGAATTTGTGGGAATTTCTTTGATGATCGGATGGGCGGAGACTCATATCGTTGCGCCTTCATCAATGCGACCCCTCTTACCGCATTAGAAAGGGCGACGCGCCAATGAAGACGTAATGGCTATAGGTCTCCACCCACCCAGATCGTGGACCAAGTTTTCAACTATTCATTTCATGAAAGTCTGTAAAAACAACTGACATAGGTAATCATTACCCACCTCAGGTACTGAACGCTGTTTCTTCGGGTCGTTTTCTTTGTTCCCCTCGTCTTTATCACTAGTCTCCTCTAGCTCCATCTCATCTCGACTGCGCTTTCGTTGTCATTGATGACCGGGGGTAACTCGTCCGGACTCTTCTTTTGGAAAAGATCTGTGATCCTTGGCTGGCGGATAGCATCAAATCTACAAATACAGCATGAATAGCGACAATGACGACACTTAGAATTGAATCCTTACCGATTCTTTATCTTATTAGCAAGCCAATCCGGGATGCGGAAATTCTGCTGAAACGGATTGGGTAATGCCTTGCTGCTGCAGGGGATTGGTAAATGAGTTTTTCGTATAACCAGCTTCGCGCAAATCCGTTCAATTGTAGTATCCCAGTCCGAGGAGCTGAGAAAACCAGGCCCCCCCCGTTTTTCTTTTCCACCCAAGTGCTGCGATATTCAGAAGCGGATCGAGCGGGATTGCTAGAGTTGGGCTGGGGACGGGAAACGATGTCATCAGAGCGCCCCTACTCTCACCGCCTCTACGATGAGAAGGGCGGGTAAAAGAAAAAGGGAGCGCCAATGACGTCATCTCGCAACTCCGTCCACCTAAGGCGTCGCCGAGCCTTGAAAATATCGTACGCGCTACCAACCTCCCTTATGTTCATTTTCTCTATAGGTAGACCGGGCTGCTTTGTCCATTGTTTCAGATAATGACATCGAACTTTCTCCTCAGCCTGAATCTCCCATTGAAAATAAAGTTCGTATCATAGAAGAGCTAAACAGACGAACCTGAAAGATGGCTACGGGAACGGCGCGTTCAGTCACCGGAGCACCAATGGGGTGACGTGAAATGACGAATTTACATGCTAAGCCGGCATCCTGGAAGGGGGGTGGTCAACCGTACAAACATAGCACCAAAGCACTGAACAGCTCACCTTCAAGTGGATCAAGCCCCGAGAAATTCAGCCAATCTTTTAGCGCTGTACTATATCGTACTTCTTCTGACCTCCGTAATCCGTCCAGTTTCTTGACATACTTCTATTTTCAGAGATAAGATCAAACAACTCGGCGTCAGACAGTGTCCCTCCTTTTGAAAAGAGAACATCAAGCCAGTAGTCCGCTTCACGTGAGGCGCTCTCGTAGACCTGCAACGAAGAACCAATGAGAAACACCTGTGGCGTACAGGCTTGTTCGCTGCAGATAAAGGGGCATGTCAAACGGGATGGGTCTGGCACTGTTCTCCACATGTTGCTGAGGCGGATAAGCCGGAAGTTGGCGGCGCCTTCGATTGCTTGCTCACATTAACTGGGGTTAAAACGAGTTTGGCGCCGCGCCAAACCCATCTCGCGCGTCCCTTCCTAAGCAGCCACCGCTGCAGGATCGTATGCAAATCATCTGAAAGCTGGTTGGTAGTAAGAAAGACTAACCTCCGCAGGTCGTTCCACGAAAGAAAGGCTGCAAGACAAGTCTGATTGGAAGTGTTTTATAATATTGAGTTCACCACGCCTTTTCACTTCGAAACCCTTCAGTTCAGCCAAGGATCCGTCCAAATTGAACACCGCATACCTGACGGATGAAACCAGCATTAAATAATAAAAGTGCAGTTGTGATGAACATCATCACCTCTTTTTGAGTTTCTTCCCTTCCTCTTTTGAAGCAGGGAGAACCATGCACTGGTATGGTCCATCCACCTGAAGAAGAAACAATAAGTTGTAACATCATCTGCAGAAGAAGCCACCGTACCTCGAAGAAAATAGAATTCTCTTGTGTGATCGTGTACGACCCGTCTGGTTGCAAATTATGATACTGATCATTTGTGAAGCCTGCGTTCACAACAGCGTTCAGCATAGCACCAGGATACGACACAGTGATCTAAATACGCTTCTTATCACAAACGGAAGTGAGACATAGACACATATGTCGTTCTCCTTTTAAAATACACACATTTTTCAATAAAATTAATGACTTAAGCAAATTTAACTAATTCGTGCTGTCAACTGAACGGATCCAACTGGAAACTATTGCGATTCTTGCCCCTAGCCAGCCCAGTATTCAGTAATGGTATTTCAAGATTCGCTCTATAACTCTTGCTCCCACGACCTTTTCCAGAAATCGGCGGGACTTTCTGCGAAAAGGGCGAGGTAACCTTCTGCAGCTTCAGAGGCCGAAAAATTTGAGAGAAGATATAAACTCTGCAATATGTCCCAGACTGGGTGTGACTAAGTGGGGGGGGGGAAGCGGTGCCACACACGGCCAGCCCGCCTCAGGACTTTTGCTGCGATATACACTCGACACACGCCATCGCGAAATCTGAACGCTGCCGTGTGCGGCACCGCTCACCACGTATACGGTCCGCTGGTAAAATTTTAGGTGTATTTATCCGTTTCGGTTCTGTTGTCAAGAGCCGAATGGGAACTTCGCCTCTACAGATCATCAAACATCCGAACATTTCAGAAGCTTGGAAAGCCTCCAGTCACTCACAGATTTTCGTTTGCAGTTCTGAAGAGCAAAGGTGACGTTCTCAGGAAAAGATGCCGGGAGTAAGCACCATATTCCTAGAAGAAACATATTTTTGTTGGACAACAAAAATGAGCAGTCCAGTCAATGACCCACCGTCGGTATCTAACTCAAGTGGCTTTCCAATCTGTTCTACAAGTTTCCTTGCCTCGGTAATGATTTTAGCTCCAGTGTGGCAGACGATGCCAGCCATTTCCATGGAAAACCTGAAGAGCTTCCAACTTATAAAAGACGCCATCACACGGTCAAGTGTTTGTCGTCAGAGTGAAAGTTAGATACGGTAGATAAGGTACTATCAAACACTTTTGACCCATTATTGAGCTGACAAAAACAGAAATGATTGAGAAAATCACCATCGGCTGCCTTTGCGCATCACATAACCATAGAAAGAGTTTAGAATACACTTGTGGGCAAGTTGAAGAGATTCGTATAAAACGATACGACCTGGAAACGAAGACTGAACTTTCCAGAAAAAAAATTACACCTCGAGTTCCTTTTTAACGAAACGTTGATGGACCAACTCCTCCTTTTGGACTATGAAAACGTTGATGGACTAATTCCAATAAATGCAGGGAAAGCTCCATGATTTTCGTCCTCTCTGAAGTTTTGTAACACTGTTGTCTAAGTCTGACCCGTTAAGTTTGAATCGCACTGTAGTGCTCACCCTTTACGACCTCTCTTTTCAATATCTAGGGGTAATTTTTGTCAAAATCCGTCAGTGGCGGTAGATTTTGGCGAAACTCCCACTCAAGACTAGCTCTACCTACTGATCATGGGCATTCCACCGTTCGGAGCGAAAACGCCTACCACCTCTGCCATAACTGACGCAAACTGCCGGTTCCGCTCCAAAAGCATACTAGGCAGCGTTCAGACTTCGCGCTGACGCGCATCAATGCAGTACGAGGCGATTGACCCAATGGTAGGTGGAAGCGCAATCATAGACAGGTATCGACTGTGGCGGCCACTAGTATTTTGAGATAGAGAGAATAAGGGAAGAGAAAGTCACGCATTCCACAGCTTCGCACCTTCCTATTTTTCTATACTCTCCCAACGCGAGCGCTCGGCGCTAATTGGTATCCGCCTATACCGCGCTCCTACTTAGCATTGGGGCGAAGGAAGCGCGATGTTGCGCCTCGCAGCGCGTCATCGTGAAGTCTGTACGCGGCCTCATGCTTAAGGAGCAACCGCCTGCTTTCAGCAAGTCCGGCGCGGCTGGTCAAGTGCCACCCGTGCAAGAATGGTTGTAATACCTATGGTCAGAAGGTTGAGCTAGCAAAGGAGCGCTGTTGCAATGGTAGTGAGTCGGCACGCATCATCGCGAAGTCTTAACGCGGTGCTTTTGCTCATTGCTCGAAATCGTGTGTGCTTAAAACTCCGACGATTATTTCTGACCAAGTCGAGTTTTTCAGTGAATCTTCGAAGAGTGAGACTGTAGGTGATGCTAAGTATCCGGAACTGAGGACTTATTCACCTTTGGCAGCTTTGATGCCTGCGATATCGTCTTTGGACAGTTCATCGAGCGATGATTTAGCTTTTTTCAACACTTTTGTAATCTACCTAAAACAAAGGAAAAGACGTATAAAATTTGGTCCAAAACTCAGATTCTATGTAGGAGGAATCCTTCGCTTACCGGCGATCGCGGAATGCTCTAACCGTGTCAACGTAAAAAGCGTTTTCACGTTGACAAATCATAGTCTGTCGTATTTCAAGGCGAGTTAGATGAGTTTTACCGTAGACACGACGAGAATAGTCTGAAAAACGAATCAGTCTTCTCCATTTAGATCTCATTCTTGTTTGCGCCAACAGAGGTCCCTCACCTTGTATTCTTTTCTTCTCAATAGCCTGCCTTTCAGCCTTTTCTAATTGATGGAACGCTTTTGCTGGTTTACCAAAAGTTTCCCCTTCCAGCTGTTGGACAATTTGTTGGAGTTCACCACGCGTGGCAGGAGCTTTAATAGAGCAACTGTGCAGGTGAACTGGATAGGAAAGTTCTAGAAACCAGTTTCTTACTCAGTTCGCCCCTCCATTCCCAATTCATGACTCTTTTACACTTGGCATCTGGACGATTATAACAACATGCCATGCATATCTCCTCATTGACCATCGCACATGGCTGTAATCGAAAAATAAAAGGAAATCACAAAGTGACAAAAATAGCAAGGGGGGGGGGCATGGTTGCCACCACTGCTTCACCACTTCCGCTTTACATGTCTGACTTTGATAAAATCTGTGAATTCTTGTAAAACAGGAGCAAGCCCGTCGAGCCACCATGATAAAAATGGTATTTGAATGGTATTTCATTGCTTTGACAAGAGATAGACAAGTACTTTTATTTACGAAGATCGGCCGGCATGTCTCTGCCCAAACTAGGCTCTGTACTACTTGTAACGTATACAGATTTCACAGGCTGACACGGTAATAGCCAAAAGCGCTAGAATGCCCCCCCCCCCCATCGCCGATATGTGCCTAAAAAGTATTAATAACAATGTATGTGAGAAGCTTACCTGTAACCTGTTTGTAAGAATGATATTCGGATACATGGCGCCAACGTCCAAGTGGTAAATTCGTGGGTTTTCCATCCTAAAAGTTAATAGCTGAAATCTTCGAAGGTGTTGTTCAGAGATCATTCGCCAAATTTCAAACCTGGCAGGGATAGCCATCAGGTCAGTGAAGGCTTGTTGAACTTCTGCACACTGAAAATAACGAATACAGGCTATTATATCCTCAACTCAGAAGGTAAAGCTTCCTCAGTCAATTAATTTCTTCCTGATGGCACCACTTCCGATTCTTTTAGGGGTGTAGTTACATGTTAAATGAGATTTGCTCCCATGCGCATCCCAAAAGCAGCTGATCAGTGTCGAAAGCCCACCATCTTAGCCTTTTTAACTACACCACTCTCTCACAGGGTTCAAGTGGCATAAGCTTACCGTCCCGGCTTCCTCATAAATCGACTCACATTCTCGAGAGGTATGCTATACTCGTCGGAAGAGTGTTCCTCCAGGTGTCATACTCGTGTACGAATCATGGAGCTCTCGAGTGCAGCCGCTGTCATTCACCCGAAACTCTTAAAAACATGAATAATTGCGGCCATTATGCAATTCTAAATTTCCATATAGTAAAGAGATACCTGCACGGAATATCAGCCCGGAACACGCCTGCTTCTAAAGCCTCTACATGACCACCAACGTACGTTTCGGACTCGATCCTGTAGACGATTTTTCATGGCTGCTAAACATTTCAAGTTCATATTTCACTTTTGGCACTCCTTAGTCGATTTGTATTCATCATCTTCTGTATATTTGTTAGGAAACACGATGTTGCTATGGAAAGCTTCCACCATCAAAAGTGCTTCGCACAAGGTCCCTGAGCCCTTTCTGAGCACCTGTATAAGGAGAAGTGGCTTCTAATTTGTTCAAAACTTTCGTATCCAGGAGGGAGGGCGACTTAAACTTGTTCTCTATGCCCTCTTACAGAAACAGAAATCCATTCTCGAGTTCTGCTTCAGAAAAGCGCAGACGAACGCGATTACTGTGGCTTTATCTCGGCGTGCACGGAAGCGTGCAGAAGCCACGTTCGCTGCAGATGCTGAAGCGTGTCAGGGGCGGGATCGAATCGGGAACCAGCCTATTTTCCGCCAATGTCGCATCCCCTTTTCGAAAACTGGTGGAGAACGTGCTGGCGCTGCGCCAAAACCAATCTCCCATCTGGCACGCCCCACCACCCGCAGCGAACAGGACTGTAGTCGCGCCGTCGAACAACGTCCACTAAAACATTGAGTAGTACTCACGTCATCTGGACCAAGCGGAATGATGGTGCACAAAGCAAAAACGAATGGATGGACGTATTTCATATACAGGTAATAGGTGGCTACAGCATCAGAAACTGAGTAATTCGCTAAACTCTGAAAATTTTCGTATTAAAAAACTTCCAGATAGAAGGACTATGAGATGAAAAATATCCGAACCTGTGGGTCTTCTCGTGCCATTTTACACATCTCTTCGGGATCAACTTCTACTGGATCATAGCGTAATTTGGCTTTAGCAACAGCTTTCAGATTCTGACTTCCAACAGGTAGGTAGGAATCCCGCTTTACCCATCTAAAACCTTGCGAAATTCCTTATTTGTGCCGAGTAGTTTATTAGAAACCAAAACAAACCTGAACGCATCCATGTGGATACAGTTTCGGCATTTGAATTCATCGGCGGAATCTTTCGCGAATCCGATCTCATTTTCCATGCTCATCCCTCTTATTTGCGCCCTTGTTTCAACAAACGGCCTTAAAAGGTAGAAAGCGTAGGAAATACAGATGAATTCAGCAATCAGCGATTAGGCTTCAAAGGTTGCTCATGTAACGAAGGCGCCTTTTGGGACAAAGGGAGTATGCGAATTCATCCGCAGAATTCACGAAACAGGCGACTATGCGATTCCAAATAATATGCCAACAGAGGATTATGCGATTCCGAATGATATGCAACAGGGATTACATAGAGTCGATGAGTCCGCCCTGTAAAATGGAGGTTGCACGACATGGACAAACGCTATTCGTTCCGCCGTCGCGCTGCGACCGTCGCGCCCGTGTGCATCCGTGCTCCAATCGAAGCCGGACACTGCGATCGGAAAAAAGCTGCACTCATGCCGCGTCGACCGAGATAGCAACGACTGGTCTTAACGTATCCAGGAAAGCCTGGGTCGCACTTCCAGAGAACTGTATTCTTCAGTGCGCTAATTCCCAGTATTCAATTTATTCCCTATCGTGAATTCTCCAGACCCTACGCTCAAAAATCACAGATGGTCCCCTCTCTGTATCGATATGTATATACTTATCGCTTGTCGTCGATTCTTTGGAGTCAACTGGTCCCACTTTTCGACCAGCGGTACGACGGAGCCAAAAAACAAACAAATGAAAAGTTTCACCTGACCAATCGAAGAAGTCTCCGTTGTACGTAACAATAATATTCGGTCGGACTTGAAGAATGTGATCGAAAAACCTTGAAAAAGTAGATATAGTTAAGGAGACGTATAACTACACTATACTACAGGAAAAATTGTACAGTTCCTAAAGTACGCAGTGTACTGGACGCAGTACCTTCGGATTGTTGCTGTTTCATCGGGTGTTGAATATAAAAAATTCTCCCTTGCTTACTCTTCCTGGTGGGTGTGTATTCGAAGGGTTCTATTTCCGCTGCTACTATGTCACGATTGATAATGAGAAATCCTTTTCCGTCGATCTAAAAGCGTACGAAATCAGAAGTAAATGGTTAACGAAGGAAGAAAGGCGCTGGTGTAGTTGAGGAAGCCAGGCCATCGATCACGAGTAGTTCTAGTTCTTGAAACAGCTGAGCCGAGAGAATAACCAAAGAGCATTACCGCGCCCGTGTCATTCCCCGTCTTGGGGTATTGACAACAGAATCGTAATTCGCCGCGCAGTGTGGCGTCGGTGCAACGTTGCGCCCGCTAATGACGAGACTAGCCGGTACTTGGTCGAAAAGGACATTGACATAACACCAAAATAAACATAGTTTTCTACCATGTCCTTGTCTACATGAAAGCCGATGCACCAACCGAAAGGGTAGTGCAAATAAGGAGATGTCGCGCCCATCGCCGCGCGCGACAAAGCGGCAATTTAAGATCTTTTCCCGTCCTCGAGTACTGTACCCGTGAGAGGAACACCGTTCTCAAAGACTTAACCATGTACGATATCATTTATATGTCCATTAGCTGGATCTCAGAATTTCATATGGTGTTTCGTTGGTCAATATCAAAAGCCAATTATGACACGTCGAATTGGATCAATCAGGGTAGGAATACTGGAAATGTGAACAAAATTTAAATAACATAGGCCCTAGGGTAATGGAAAGCATACCTGATGATACTGGGCTTCCTTGTTGCACTGATGCCTTTAACACTATACCATTTTCCCACAAAATATTTTTCATCAATAGCTACTCTCATGTGATAAGGCAGGTCATGTTCTCTGAAATCATTAGACTTCTCGCACTTGAATCAAAATACCGTAAGGCATGAGCTGCGCGATCTGTGCTTCGCCAGTCATTGGTAGCAGCGCTGCGTGGGCGCGTGCCATGATGCCCTCTTGTAACCAACCAAATGACGCTAAATAACTACCAAATACAAAACAAATAAATATATACATATGACCACATCAATGACGCTCCAGTATCACGCTCAATGCAAAGGCGTCACGCTCTTGCAACGTCGGAAACTGTGCACTAAGTAAAAGAGACGTATTAACCAGGCAAATATGTACGGGGTACAGCATCGTTGAGAGAACCCCATCAGGCCCCGTACCTGGTCTTTGGAGGGAGTGCCGCGTTTAGTCCATGGGGATCGTATCTGATTCCAACTCAGAAATTACAGCTGTTCTCCCATACGATTGACGGTAACCTTGACAAATTGATATTTCTCGAAGCTTGAGACCAAATGCAAAATGCGGCAAACTCATAAGATGGTGGATAGTATGGGGGAAGCCGGGTATACCGCGAGACAAGAAATTTCGGAGTGAGGTTGGCATTTTCGTCTTCGGCAGGTGCATTTGTGCTATCGCCAATCATTTTAGAAATAACGCGTCTCATTCTTTGACAAAAACCCATGCACTGTTCAAGTTTAGCGAATATTCTGCTACTAATAGCTCTATAAGTGTTTGCAGGGCTCCACATGAGGCACAGGCAATGATCGAGGAACCAGCAAAATTCCCCCACCAAGGCGAACTATGCCGGAGAGCCAGCTAACGAGTAACAAAAAAACACATTTCTCCCATTCGATTGCTGTTCCCTGATCTATTTTTCTAGAATGCCGCCATTTGTAGAGGGAGAGTGCAATAGGCCTTCTAGCCGCTCTGGTTGCCCACTTCTTCTCCTCAATCGCGGATTCCCCACATCGGCAAATTGTGAATGCACCCTAAAACGGCGAACCTACCTAATATCCAAAATATCGGTCAAAACATCATTTTCTCGTGATTCGTAATTAGATCCACCCATATTCCTGAAAATTCGCCAGTTTGTACATGTATAAGGTGGCATCATTTTCACGGGAACAACCTTGCAAGATATGAGCAGTACTGTGACTCCTTCTTGATTCTGTTCCTGTTCTTACGAACAAGTGGCATGAGGTCTTTCTTGACTTTCGCCAGTTCGGCTGTACTTGGAAAGGATAGCTTTATGTATGTTTTCTTCAGACCAGAAAGATGATTCTTCTGGAAAAGGACTAATTAAAGTCGAAGTGCTGAGAGTTCTAAGCTCAAATGAAATTCCTACCAAATCCAAATCTTCTTTGTCGATAATTTCCATTACTAGAATGCCACCATATTTCTTTGAGAGAACTGATACAACGTGATGTTCAGCACCGTCAGTGGTGCTGATGTAAAAATACGGTCGAAAGGGGTAAGATATCTGAATAAGTAACTGTCAGCAACTAATTTTTCAAAGCTTCCTTGAGGTCAGTAACGCGATATCGCGCACTAAGTTCTGGAATCAATGAGGGGGGGGGCGCTTTTGTTGGCTATTGGGTTTGCATTATTTGCGAGGAAAATGAGAGAAAGGGAACGAAAAATAAGAAAAAAGAAAGGAGAAAATTTCAAGACAAATGTCCCCGAGTCACGCTTTATAACCCCTTTCCTCACTCCAGCATCCGCTCGAGGGCAGTTTTAGAGGGGAAAACGGAGAATTTTCGGAGAACTCTTGAAAGTGGTAGGAACTTGGGATAATTGAGGAAAACGGTCGATAAGACAGGGGAAGGGTCATACCAGAGAATAACTTCTGAGGGAGTCATATTTTGCAAAATCTTTTCCCAACGGCAGGATGTGCCATGACTACGTTACAGCGAAGACGATAGAAAGATTTCCCAATACGACTCTGAGCTTCCCTGCCTCAAGCAAAAGACCGCCCTCTCACGAGCGAAGAGGGGGTAGATAAGTCAGCATGCTTGAAGAGAAAAAAAATAAAAACACTAATATGCTATCGAACTCCTCATACTCCTGATTTGTGCCCCCCCCTCGCCTTAACAATTGAATAGCATCCCTTAATCTCGTTTTGGGACGGCTTAACATGCCAATAAAAAAAGAAGGACAGTTCGGCTTGAAAGGGAAGGGGCATTTTGGGTCTTCGCTACCTCCCAATGTCGAGCCACAATTTAGAGATATTTGAAATCTTGTCCAGCCATAAAATGAAACAAGTCAACGTTCAGAAAGACCGCTAGTCTACTTTTGTTAGGCAACGAACATGACAATGGTAAGTAGTGAAAGAGCCCCCTGTCCCAAGCCGGAGTGCGCCGAAAAGGTTAAGCGAAAAGGAACACATGTAATGTTAACGTAAGAAGCCTTTAAAAAGGAAAGGAGTGCAAGGAAAAACAGTTCAAGTCATCGGCAGAATCGCACAATGGCTGAAGTAGCACAGGTACGTGGCCCGTGCACCACCGTTGCTATATCTCGGGTCGCGTGTCCTGTCCTTCTTCAAGCTACGTTCACACTTCGCGATTTAATCGCTCAGGCTTGTGACTGATGTCAACCTCGAGCAAACGCGCAGAACAATTGCTGGCGCAGATGGCTCGCAAAGTATGAACGCGCTTTCGGCAGTGGTTACGTGACATTTTGAACTTTTGTCATGGTCCTGTTGTGAAACAGTGTGAGGAGATAGATAGAGGATGTATGCTGTCAAAGCACCAAAACGTGCAAGGAACATGTGGCGAGCCAGGATATAGCATCTTTCAAGAATAGGGGACTGCGAGGTGTAAAAGCCATTTATAATTTCTGAGAAGTTGGGAAGTTTGACCACAGAATTCCATAAGGATGAGAGAAAACAGAAACTCGACGTGTTTAAAGGGATTAGTTTCAACTTCTCCGTAAACATTTAACAGGTAGCGTTTCACTGCTTCAATGGTTCTACACATCATCATGAATATACGAAGAGATAGAAAGTGAACATAGAAGGAACCTCTATCACTTGAAAAAAGCTACCTTAAATTTTTCGCCGCTCTCTTCAATGAAGTAAAAATCAACAGCGGAGTTTATCGTTTTGCTTTGTTCATCTACCAACTCGGACTGAAAAGATTTCAAGAGGACTGAGAGCCGTTCGCAATGAATCCAAATGAAATAAGCCTATCTGGACCCACGGGTTGAAAATTGATGA